AAATATCATTTTTCTTAAAAATATTTGGTCTTTTTTGTTTATTTAGCGTGAAAAATAAAAAGCGCACAGGTGATCAAATACCACCAAAAGAGAGCTCTATTTGTGTGAAAAAAGGACATAAATTTAGTTTAGGTGCAGCATTGCATGACCGCGCAATTATCAGTTGAATTAGTGCAGCGCCGAGTAGCAAAAAGAGGCCTGGCCATTAAGGGGGGTAAATCCTCTGGAGGTCAAGTGGTTAATGTAGCATTTTGACATGGGGATGCATGCATCTAAAGGAAAAAAGTTAATAACAAAATACAAAAGAGCTAACAAATTTATGCATTTTTTGTAAATCCATGGTATACTAGTTTATCTTATATCAGGCTATATTTATAAAAAGGATGTATGAAAAGCTTATTGATGGCAGTCAGGTTCTGGAACCATAAACAAGTAACCTCCAAACCTTCACTTAAAACATCAGCATTAATGACTTTTTTTTATACAGGTTTATTTTTCTTGGATACATTAATTTCCTACTTCTGTTCACTGCTACTAGGCTCTATAACATGTACTGTGAGCTGCACTTAGATGCAACAGACACAGGAAGAAAAAGTAAGTTACTTTTGTTGTGTGAGGAAGGAAATAAGCTAAATAAAAGAAACCTTACCACACCAATCAATAGAGTAGCTAAAATAGAAAAAAAACAAAACAAAAGTGAGAAGAGAATAGTCTTTCTGTATATATGCATTTTGTACACATAGTAAGCTAGAAAGTTTAAAGAAGAAAAAAAAAGAAAAAGAGAGTGAAAATGAAGATATCCTCATGGGAAAACAAGACTTGCTCAAAATGAAAAGAGCTGAATTTGCTCAGAATACAGTTGTGTCCAAAATTATTCAACCCCCAATGCTGTAAAGGGGTTTAGGACTATAGTGTACATTTGGAATTGTATTCAGAATCAAATCCTACAAGGACGTTGTAACTACCCAAATGCAACTAAAATGACATCAATTGTTTATGTAATACAGTAGTAAATGGTTCTTATGTGGTTTCTTCATTGCCACAATTATTCAACCCCTTAAAGACTACCACTCTGAAGAACACAGAGGTTCATACAGGTGCTTTCCATCAGGTATTGAAAACACCTGTGGATGTCACCGAGCAGCAATCAAGCATAATAAGCACCAATTAGGCAGCTTTAAAATGACTGTGATACTCAGCTCCTTCTAGACATTTACTGGTGTGGTTACAAACATGGTGAAGGCAAGAGAATGGTCCAGGAAGACAAGAGAAGAGGTGATTTCTCTTCACAGGAAGGGCAATGGCTATAAGAAGATTGCAAAGATGTTAAACATACCAAGAGACACCTTAGGAAGCATCATTCGCAAATTCAAGGCAAAGGGCACTGTTGAAACGCTACCTGGTCGTCGGCAGAAAGAAGATGCTGACTTCGACTGCTGTGCGCTACCTGAAGCGTAGAGTGGAGAGAAGTCCCCGTGTGACTGCTGAGGAACTGAGAAAAGATTTGTCAGATGTGGGTACAGAAGTTTCAGCCCAGACAATAAGACGCACACTGCGTAATGAAGGCCTCCGTGCCAGAACTCCCAGGCGTACCCCCTTGCTGTCTCCAAGAATAAGAAGAGTCGACTGCAGTATGCCAAAAGCCATGTGGACAAACCACAAAAGTTTGTGATAGTGTTCTGTGGACTGATGAAACAAAATTAGAACTGTTTGGGCCCATGGATCAACGCTATGTTTGGAGGAGGAAGAACAAGGCCTATGATGAAAAGAACACCTTGCCTACTGTGAAGCATGGTGGAGGGTCAATCATGCTTTGGGGCTGTTTTGCTTCTGCAGGTACAGGGAAGCTTCAGCGTGTGCAAGGTACCATGAATTCTCTTCAGTACCAGGAGATATTGGATGGAAACGTGATGCAGTCCGTCACACACCTGAGGCTTGGGAGACGTTGGACCTTTCAACAGGACAATGATCCCAAGCATACCTCCAAGTCCACTAGAGCATGGTTGCAGAGGAAAAGGCTGGAACATTTTGGAGTGGCCATCGCAGTCACCAGACTTAAATCCGATTGAGAACCTCTGGTGGGACTTAAAGAAAGCAGTTGCAGTGCGCAAGCCTAAGAATGTGACTGAACTGGAGGCCTTTGCCCATGAAGAATGGGCGAAGATACCCGTAGATCGCTGCAAGACACTTGTGTCAAGCTATGCTTCACGTTTAAAAAAGCTGTTATAACTGTAAAAGGATGCTGTACTAAGTACTAAGATTTGAATGTCACTTGGGGGTTGAATAAAACTGATAATGCTGTGAGCACAGAAAAGACATTTGTGGTTATTTCATTATAACTGTTATGTTATATTTGTCTGACCTACAAGTGCCTCTTTAATGTAAATGTAAGCAAGATGACTGAATGATCAAAAGCAATGTCAAACTGGCCAAAACACTCAATTTCAGTGGGGGTTGAATAATTTTGGCCACAACTGTATATGAGTAATACCCCACATAGGTTTCTTATACTCTGAGTGGTGGTTTTATCCTAAGTGAACTGAGCACCTAGACCTCATAAAAGACAGCAGTCTTACTAAATTCTAGTCAACCTAATTTAACATGGGGCTTTGTGAGTGTTTTGCTGTAAAGTTGCATGCTGTATTGTCTAATAAATATTGTAATATATCTCAATGTGTGAGGGATAATAATGCTTAACCACTAGCCTACAGGGCACTTATACCCCCTCCTGCCCAGGACAATTTCCAGCTTTCAGCGCTGTTGCACTTTGAATGACAATTGCGTGGTCATGGAACACTATACTCATATGAAATTTTTATCATTTTTTGTGACAGATAGAGCTTTATTTTGGTGGTATTTAATCACCTCTGGGATTTTTTATTTTTTCTTAAACAAAACCAAAAACCACTGAAAATTTAAAAAAAAAAATGTTTTTTTCTTAGTTTTTGTTATAAAATTTTGTAAATTTGTAAATGTGATTTTTCTCCTTCACTGATGTGCGCTAATGAGGCTGCAGTGATGGGCACTGATAGGTGGCACTGGTAGGTGGCACTGATGGGCATTGACAGGCATCACTGATGGGCACTGAAAGGCAGCACTCATATATGGCACTGAAAGGCACTGATGGGTGACACTGAAAGACAGCTCAGATGGCCACTGATATTTGGCATTGATGTGGCACTGATGGGCACTGGCAGGTGGCATGGATGAGCACAGAGCTGGCACTGATGGATACTGACAGGTGGCACTGCTGGGGCTACACTGATCATCAGTGCTCTGATGATCTGTGTAGATTGTCCAAATCCAAGGAATGCCGGCTCTCCTCTCCTCTCGAGCTGTCAGTGTGACAGCTCGTGAGGAGAGAAATGCCGATAACCAGCATTTCCCTGTTTACATGTGATCAGCTGTGATTGGATCACATGACCGAGCCGACATCTTTGGCTCTTTCTGTAGATCACAGCGCACCGCCGATTGCCGCGCTGCGTGCTCCCAGAGCCGCGCATGCGCAGTGAGAATGGGAGGACGTCATATCACGTCCTCCCAGAACGAGAGAACCGCCTTGCGTCCATCATATTACTATATGGCAGGCGGGGAGGCGGTTAAATAAGAAGTATGCCTAAAAAATCTTTTTTTGATCATATTTCTTTTCTGTGTCACAGGAGTGCACTTACTTTTACACTCCTGTGACCCAGAATCAGCAGGCAGCGGGTAAACCTTGCTGTCGGCTGACATCAGAGCTGTTCCATGCTCTGAAAGGGCCACAACAATAGTTTTGGGATCCACTGATCTGCAGTTGGCTCAGCCTCTCAGCATGTATTTGAGAGCCTGAACAAGCCGCTCCCATCCCCTCCGTATCCTGGCACTCCAGTGAGTTCTGGAGGGACGGCCAACACTCCTCTCTGCTCAGAGCAGACCGAGAGCTGAGCGATCAGTAGTCACGTGATCACTCAGTTCCTGGGCTTAGAGCCAGTGAAGGACAGCAATAACATCACATTGATGCTGCAGTCATAGAGGTGAGTATGCATATTTGTTTTTTATTATTCCCACACTTCTCATTTAAATTTAATTTCCAGTACTGGGACAGGGTCATCCAGCTCCCAGGACAAGGATGAAGAACTTAGCCCCCTCCCCCACTGCCAAAGAATGGGTATACCACCCTGTGTCCATCCTTTTCCCCCTTACTTCATTGTGCCTGGGGCAGCTGCCCCTCCTTCCCACCCCTTGTCCCAGTCCTGGTCATTTTCATTTTCATGAATTGTTTCTGTCCAACAATTCAAAGTACACTAATTAACTCTGGATAAAAGGCTTAAAGCATTACTGCTGTTTTGCTCCCGGTATGTGCCTATGCCCCCACTGCCATCGTATACAATACAGGGTCAGTGGTATGTATATGACGACATTGAGGGCTCGTGCACATACCAGTCCTGCATTATATTTGATGAAAATTGTATAGACCATGACCAGTTGTGCAGTTTTGTGGGACCAGTCATATGGCAGGTAGGAAGCTTTGGCAGCAAGGCATAAGATAGATATTTCTCTACTCTATACACCGCCTAGACCAGGGGTGTCAAACTGGCGGCCCTCCAGTTGTTGCAAAACTACAAGTACCGTCATGCCTCTGCCTTTGGGAGTTATGCTTGTAACTGTCAATTTTGCAATGCCTCAATGGACTTGAAGTTTGGCAACAGCTGGAGGGCTGCCAGTTTGACACTCATGCCCTAAACAAGCTATTAAACCTTGCTATCCAGATGGGAGCCACATGAAATGAAAATTTTATGCTGATTGGAGTTCAGCTTTAATCTGTTTAACTGCCTCCCACCCGCCATATAAGGAAATGACGGGCTAGTGGTGGTTCTCTCGTTCTGGGAGGACGTCATTTGACGTCCTCCCACCCTAACTACACATGCGCGTCCCCAGGGGCACGAGGCGATCGGTGGTGTGCTGTGTCCATGGGACACAGCGGATCACCAATCAGCGGAAAGAGCTGATGACGTTGGCTATGTCATGTGATCAGCTGTGTCCAATCACAGCTGATTGCATGTAAACAAGGAAATGTTGATTATCGGCATTCCTCTCCTCGCGCTGACAGTTCGTGAGGAGAGGAGATCCAGTAAGCGGCATTCCTCAGAGAGGACATGTACACCGATCATCATGGCACTGATGATCAGTGCCCTTTTTATCAGTGTAACCCCATCAATGCCACCTGCCAGTGCTTATCAATGCCACATATTAGTGCCTACCAGTGCACATTAATGCCACATATTCGTGCCCATCTGAGCTGCCTTTCAGTGCCTCCTATCAGTGCCGCCTATCAGTTCTGCCAATCAATGCCAGTCAGTGCCACCTATCAGTGCCCATCAGTGCCACCTAACAGTTCCAATTAGTGCCAGTCAGTGCCGCCTATCAGCGCCATATATGAGTGCTGCCTTTCAGTGCCCATCAATGATGCCTGTCAATGCCCATCAGTGCCACCTACCAGTGCCTCCTCATCAGTGCCGCCTATCAGTGCAGCCTCATTAGCGTACATCAGTGAAGGAGAAACATTACTTATTTACAAAACTTTATAACAGAAACTAAGAAGAAACTTTTTTTTTCAAAATTGTCAGTCTTTTTTAGTTTGTTTAGCAAAAAATAAAAAACCCAGAGGTGATTAAACACCACCAAAAGAAAGCTCTATCTGTCTAAAAAAAAAATGATAAAATGTTAATATTTAGGATCTTTGACTTTGTGGGGTTTATTTTCAAATTTGACAGCTCGCCATATTGTTTTAAAAGTCTCAATAAATTAGGCAATGTTATTCTAGGATTTACTATATAAAATAACATATCATCTGCGTATGTTGCCACTTCGTGCTCCACATCCCCAATTTTTATTCCTACTATATCTACACTTTGTCTAACCCTTGCTAAGATAGGTTCTAGTGATAACACAAACAATACTGTAATGGAGATAGTGGGCATCCTTGTCTTGTACCATTGTACATGTTAAACGACTGGGAGAAGAATCTGTTGACCTTAACTGCCAACGTGGGACCATTATAAACCCTTTTATGCAATTCAACATTTTGGGCCCTAGTCCTAAAACTTCTAATGTATCGAACATAAATCCCCAATCCAACCTGTCGAAGGCCTTCTTGGCATCTATCGACAGGAATATTGTTGGCTGCTTCTCTCTCTTTCGTAGATCATTATCCAATCCCTCTCTTCCAGGGATAAACCCCACCTGATCCAGGTGTATCCATTCTTGTATCAGCTCCTTCAATCTAGTTGCCAAGACCTGAGCATATAGTTTTGTGTCTGCGTTTAATAAGGATATGGGCTTATAGCTTGCACACTGTGAGCTATCCTTACCTTCTTTGAGTATAATAGTTATATGTGCTTGCAATGATTCTTCTCTCTTTTGCATCCCCTCTCCTATCGCATTCATATAACCACACATTTTAAGGACCAAAAGTCTCTACATTTTTTAAAATAACCTACAGTAATCCATCCGGACCAGGACTCTTTCCTGAGGCCGTGTTCTTCAGGACCACACTGACTTCCAACGGGGTTATAGTTCTCTCTAGGGCCACTAATTTATCTTCTGCTATTCTAAGCATCTCCAACTCTTTTAAGTATTTCTGCCTTTTTCTCTTCTTATCATCCTCCATTTCTTTTTGATTTGTAGGACTCACATTATAAAGCCTACTATAGTATTATTGGAACCTATTAGCAATATCAGTGGTGGAATAAATTAATTCTCCTTTATCAGTTTGGATTTTTTCTATAAAATTTTTAGATTTCTTTTCCTTTAACCTCCTCATTAGATATTTTACAGGTCTATTCTCCCACTGATATCTTTATTTTGATACCCTATTAAATATCCTCTTCACCTCCTGTTTTGTAAGGTCTTTTAATTCTTCTCTTTTAAGGATGATCTTCTGGTATATATCCATGCCTATATTCATTTTATGTAACTGTTCTAACTTATATAGCTCCTCCATCACCCTCTTTATTTTCCCCCCTGTTCTTTATTTTTTTTTTTGCTCCTATCATCGCTATCAATGTTCCCCTTATATATGCCTTATGAGCCTCCTACACTGTGGCTACAGTCACCTCCTTGGTCTCATTAAACTAAAAAAATTGTTCAATTTCCTGCTTTCTCTTTTCCACTGTTTCAGGATCTTGTATAAGCATCTCATTTAATCACCAAGTATTTGTCTTGCCCTGCTCCACTCCAACCTGAAGTCTTGCTGGGACAGGAGGATGATTAGAGATAGATGTAACCTCTTTTTGGAACTAACCAACGACTCCAATTGTCTGTGCTCGATCAATATATAATCCAATTTTGACTATGTTCCATGTACTGGAGAGAAGAACGTGTAATCTCTTTCTCTTGGATGTTTTACTCTCCAAGTATTGCTCAATTGGCCTTGATGTAATAACCTCTTCAGTAATTTTAATTTCCTACCACCCTCTCTCGTCATACAGAATGATGCATCCAAATACGGATTCAAGCTCAGATAAAGATCTCCTTCCACAACCAGGTTGAACCTTTTATATTCAGAGATTTTACTTAGCATACCCTCCAAGAATGTTACTGGGTTTTTATTTGGGCAGTAAATATTAACTAGTGTATATTCCATTCCTTGTAGTTTTCCCTTCAGGAATAGGAACCGGCCCTCTGAGTCTTCCACTCTCCCCTCAAAGGTGAAGCTAACATTTTTTGAAAACCCGATTGCTACTCCTTTAGCCCTTTTAACTGGGGAATCAGCATAATACCATGTTGGATAGTACTTCGAATATAACAACATTTGTATCGTAGGTTATGTGTGTCTCTTGCAGAAACAATACATCTATAGCGTGTTGGTATATTTCCCTAAGAATCTTATGTCTTTTTGTCGGGGAATTTAATCCTTTCACATTATAAGTCATGAACTTGATTGAGCTTATTTGTAATATTCCTTCTCTACCTTATCCTTTTTCCTACACCAGGGACACAGATATAAATAACTTGAGAACTGAACCTTTTTCTCATATGTTCCAGTAATGGTTTCAAAGATCTGCTTGGCAGTGTCTCTGGAGAAATGTCAGCAAAAATGTACAACTTTGTTTCCTCATATTGTATTTCAGTAGCGCCCCACAGACTTTTCCATATTCTTTCCCTATCTGGGTAATAATGAAATCGGACAATCACATCTCTAGGGCTATCTACTGATACTCCTGCTGGCCATCTAATCCTGTGTACTCTCTCAATTTGCAATTTTTCTGATGCTGGTTTTCCCATTATTGAGTTACATACACTCTTTTTACTATTATCATTCCAAAGCAAGTGAAGTTGAGTCTTCAAAAAGAGTTTCCATTCACTTGGAAGGAAAAGAAAATAGGGTACTTGGGAATAAAAATGAATGCCCTCAATAAAAAGCTTATACCAGGCAAATTATATCCATTTCATAAATGAAATAAAGGATGAGCTGGGGAGACTCTCAAAGGGTGGAGCTTCTTGGATAGGTCGTATTTACAGTGAGGAACAGAAGTATTTGAACACCCTGCGATTTTGCAGTTCTCCCACTTAGAAATCATGGAGGGGTCTGAAATTCACATTGTAGGTGCATTCCCACTCTGAGAGACAGAATTTAAAAAAACAATTCAGGAAATCACATTGTATGATTTTTAAAGAATTTATTTGTCTTGCACTGCTGAAGATAAGTATTTGAACACCTGAGAAACAGCAAGAATTCTGGCTCTCAAAGACCTGTTACTGTGCCTTTAAAAAGTCCACCTCTACTCCACTCATTAATCTAACTTAGTAGCAGCTAGTGTCTGAGCTCTTTAAAGAGATCTGTCCACCCCACAGTCAGTCAGACGCCAACTACTACCATGGGCAAGACCAAAGAGCTGTCAAAACACACCAGAGACAAAATTGTGGACCTCCACAAGGCTGGAAAGGAAGATTGCCAAGCAGCTTGGTGAAAATAGATCAACTGTTGGAGCAATTGTTAGAAAATGGAAGAGGTTAAAGACGACTGTCAGTCTCCCTCAGACTGGGGCTCCATGCAAGATCTCACCTCGTGGGGTATCACTGATGATAAGAAAGGTGAGGAATCAGCCCAGAACTACAAGGGAGGAGCTGGTCAATGGTTTCAAATCATGCATTGCATGGAAGGTTCCCCTGCCCAAGTCATCATCACATGTTCAGGCCCGTCTGAAGTTTGCCAGTGACCATCTGGATGATCCAGAGGAGGCATGGGAGAAAGTCATGTGGTCAGATGAGACCAAAGTAGAACTTTTTGGTCTAAACTTCACTCGTCGTGTTTGGAGGAAAAAGAAGGATGAGTTGCATCCCAAGAACACTATCCCTACTGTGAAGCATGGGGGTGGTAACATCATGCTTTGGGGGTGCTTTTCTGCGAAGGGGACAGGATGACTGCACTGTATTAAGGAGAGGATGAATGGGGCCATTTATTCTGAGATTTTGAGCAACAACCTCCTTCCCTCAGTCAGAGCATTGAAGATGGGTCATGGCTGGGTCTTCCAACATGACAACGACCCGAAGCACACAGCCAGGATAACCAAGGAGTGGCTCCGTAAGAAGCATATCAAGGTTCTGGAGTGGCCTAGCCAGTCTCCAGACCTAAATCCAATAGAACATCTTTGGAGGGAGCTGAGACTTCGTGTTGCTCAGCGACAGCCCCGAAACCTGACAGATCTAGAGGAGATCTGTGTGGAGGAGTGGGCCAAAATCCCTGTTGCAGTGTGTGCAAACCTGGTCAAGAACTACAGGAAACGTTTGTCCTCTGTAACTGCAAACAAAGGCTTCTGTACCAAATATTAACACTGATTTTCTCAGATGTTCAAATACTTATGTTCAGCAGTGCAAGACAAATAAATCCTTTAAAAATCATACAATGTGATTTCCTGACTTTTTTTTTTAATTCTGTCTCTCAGAGTGGGAATGCACCTACAATGTGAATGTCAGACCCCTCCATGATTTCTAAGTGGGAGAACTTGCAAAATCGCAGGGTGTTCAAATACTTCTGTTCCTCACTGTATCTGGTAAAGGGATGATGATAGTCCCAAAAATTCTTTATAAGTTCCACGAGCTCCCAATAAGCCTGCCAGGGTCTTTTTTCGGAGTAATAAAGAAGTTGATACTCAGGTTTATATGGGCAAATAAGAAACCGAGAATTAGATATGAGGTATTGTGTATGGTAAACAGGAATGGGGGAATGGGGTTGCCTAATTTTAGGAAATATTATTTAGCTGTATTATTATCATGAATAGTAGAATGGACATTTACAGATGAAACTCGAAAAATTAGAATATCGTGCAAAAGTTAATTTATTTCAGTAATATAACTTAAAAGGTGAAACTAATATATGAGATAGACTCATTACATGCAAAGCAAGATAGTTCAAGCCGTGATTTGTCATAATTGTGATGATTATGGCATTATGGGGTCATTATCATGTTGGAATATTGCCCTGCCCAGCCCAGTTTCCGAAGGGAGGGGATCATGCTCTCCTTCAGTATGTCACAGTACATGTTGGCATTCATGGTTCCCTCAATGAACTGTATCTCCCCAGTGCCGGCAGCACTCATGCAGCCCCAGACCCTGACACTCCCACCACCATGCTTGACTGTAGGCAAGACACGCTTGTCTTTGTACTCCTCACCTGGTTGCCGCCACACCCGCCTGACACCATCTGAACCAAATAAGTTTATCTTGGTCTCATCAGACCACAGGACATGGTTCCAGTAATCCATGTCCTTAGTCTGCTTGTCTTCACAAACTGTTTGAGAGCTTTCTTGTGCATCATCTTTAGAAGAGGCTTCCTTCTGGGACGACAATCATGCAGACCAATTTGATGCAGTGTGCGGCGTATGGTCTGAGCACTGACAGGCTGACCCCCCTACCCCTTCAACCTCTGCAGCAATGCAATGAGGAAGATAAAATGGAAGAACTTGGGAAAACGTGGGGTTGTTGGTTGGAATTTAAAACATCTAAGAGATACTTGGAATTTGTCAGGAGTCAGGGGGGAAAAGCCCAGAGAGAGTATGACGAATAATTTGAAAGTGAGCGTGAGAGGGAAAGGGACGCAGATAATGATAGATAAATATAAGAGGAGTAAGAAGTAAGTTAATCAGATCTTGACAGTGATAATTTGGAAGGGGGAATAGTGGCAGGAAGGGTGGGAGATAAGAAGTTGTAAAAGAGATTCATGTATTGGTGAATGTGAAGTATATTGGGTTGTTGTATTTTTGTATTGGAAAATTTAATAAAAAGATATAATAAAAGAAAAAAATGAATAAAAATTTAATATGAGTACAGTGTTGCATGACCGCGCAATTGTCAAAGTGGGACAGCACTGAAAGCTGAAAATTGGCCTGGACAGGGAGGGGGTGAAAGTGCCCGGTAGGCAAGTGGTTAAGGGCCCATTCACACTAGGTGCAGTTACCTGTGTTTTTACATATGGAATAAACACAGGTTTCTAACTGCAACGACACAGAAAACAATAATTTTCTGTTTGTTATGTTCAGACCAGAACACAGTGTTACATTGCGTTCCAGAGCGAAGCGTCATTTATGTATAATATGTTTGCCTAATACTGCACCAATCTGCTCGGTCCTTGTCACTGCACAGGAACACAGAGCACTTCTGTGCAGTGATATTAATGAAGTGTCTGTTTGTACACTTCAAATAAAGTAAAAAAAAAAAAAAAAAAAACAGTGTTATGTAATAAAACCCATATCACACCACCCTCGCACTGCTCTTTAACTGGCCCTGCAGTTTGGCCAGCAGATCACTGTGAACGGGTCATTAAACTAATATGTCAGTTATGGGTGGACATTAGAGACATAAATCACCCAATAGTGTCTCCTTGGGACTTCAGAGGAATGATCTCTGTAGGGTGGGCTCCGGGTTCTCTGTGGCTGTACCCCGGAGTATAATTTCTCCAATTTTACTCACATCTTCAACAAACCAGCATCAGCCCAAAACTAATATGAAATGAGGCCCTCTGTTTCCTCTTGTACCAAACTGTATTGTAACTGTAATGTCTACCTTCATTTTGTAAAGCGCAAACTGTTGGCGCTATATAAATCCTGTATAATAATAATTAAATACTAATTTAGATAAAATACTAATGTGCACGGAGAAGCTGTAGTTACAAGCCCAGGTTACTTAAAGTGTCATTATGCCCACATTATAAAAAGATGACCAATTAATACAAGCTGTTCACACTCACTCAGTCACTAAGGGATTTGTTTCTATATTGTGCAAAAAACCTGGTTGATCCTGCTGTTCACTGTTCCCACTGCAGCTGGAGATTCTGCAGAGGAGCTTTGGCAGCTCTGCACATGCTCAGTTTCCAGTGAGTTTTTTATGCTATTCTTTTCTTCCCTGGTCACATCTGAGCAGCCCATGTGACTATAGTCACACATGTGGGTATATACACAAAGGTAAAGGACAGCCTTCTCCCTCCCTTTGCCTCCATGCTAACATCTTGATTGATGGAGGCTTCAGCTCCCTATTATTCTAAGTGACAGGCTGGAGGGGTGTGACACAGCATGTAACTGGCAGAAATCCGCCCACACCATGTAATTGCTGAAAAATAATAAAGCTTTAAATTCAAATATATATTTGACAATTTAAAACAGTTTGAGATTATTTTTACTTTTTATTTTTTTTTTCTGTATCCCAAATGCTGTTTTTTTTGAGCATGTGACCAGCGGCAGATGACTAGAAGCTCCTCCTGCTTATGTTACCCTGCAGACAGTCTGGGATAGAGCTGAGTCACGTGACAGCTGTATAGTGATCAGGAAAAGGTATTTAGATGTTATTTTTTAATGAAACTACACTAATTACAGAGCCATTATCCACATGCTGAACTAAAAGGGATAATGTAAATGATATAGTGAGTGTTTAGTATTACTTTAAAGCCATAATATGTTTTGGGTGTTGTGGGCAACACCTCTTTTTCCTGTGGATCAGATTTTTATAACAAAACAAGCATCTTTTATATTCTATCATAGCACATCAAACCGTGCTGATATCCAGCTTACCAAGAACTATAAAAGTACAAGCGTTAATTCCAGTCTCACAGTAGGAAAAAAACAGTTTATTGGATGCTCCTGGGATAGTAGGGTTACATACATTGTTAATGGGATACAACAGAGAAGATTGTTGGGTATTATATAAAACTTATGAACACTGAAAGAATATTAAGCCTCCTTTTCAATTCAAAGTAATGGCATTAGAGTTATATCTGTAGATTGACCAAGACTATGGTAAAGCCACATATGTTTTGATGAAAATGGATTTTTACACGGAGAAGAATGATCGGTTTATTAAGTCTTCAAGCTGATATTGGCAGATGGCTGGAAGCACATTAGCTGTAAGTGCATACTACTCTTAAATTCATTTAACAGATCCTCCAGTAACCTGTGAAAGAGAGACATATATTTAATATAAATCAACTGAAAACAATTGCAACAAGATAATTCAAGGGCAATACAATACTAAAGCACAGATGTGACTCAATGGCTCATTTGACTGTGACAGTGTGAGGCCCTACCATGGTGTGAGATTAGGAAAGGGGTGCAAGGACGACACAGGATTCTTACACTTGCAGTTTGAGAAACTCCAACATGTGTATTGTGAGAAAAGAAAGCTGCGCTTTAGGTTTTCCTCAGGTTTTGTAATCTTGGATCGAGTTTGTATGTTCTAAAGCAGGGTCAGCAACCCGTTGATCATGATTAACCAGTTGACTGCCAGCAGCCGACAGATCACAAACACAGCTTTGCCGATCCTATCACCCAGCCTCCGCTGCTCTCATCTAAATAGCGGGAGCTAGAACTCTACTGGATGAAGGGCGGGAGAAGGCAGTGGCTATGCCAGGTAGGTGCACACCCTAGCAGCCTCCTCGAACATCTCGGGGAAGGTACTCACAGTCTGTAGTCCGAGTCTCCTACTTGCCATGATGACTGCAGGCAGACCTAACTCCTGATGGGAGAGCTGCTCCTGCACTCCACCCCCCCCTTCCCCGCCTCCTACTCATTACTCACTAACAAGGCTTCTCCAACCTGCAGATGTCAGGAGACATACACAGCAGTCAGATGCAGGCTGGATAGTGGATAATGTCTTCCCAGTGCTTCGGCCATCACTGGGAGGAAGGAATCTATGGCGTTATTTGCTGCTTAGCCAATCAGGCTGTGTCCATGCTGCAACCCCCCCCCCCCCCCCCCCCCCCCCCCCTTCCTCTCTTGGCACATTTTGACTTCAGGCAGTGCCAAAGAAGGAAGAAGTCAAAGTGACTCCCCAATTCCTCCAAATCCCTCGTGAGTTTTGTGTCCTTTACGTTTTCTTCAAGGAGGGGGACAAAACTACTTCTGCAGCAACATGGACAGTGATAGATTTGTTGTCTTAGAGCAAGTAGTAGAATGAGAGGGGAACAGGCAAGGGAAGGGAAAACATTTTCTCCCAAGCTAATTATGACACCAGGTCTGACACCAGGTCCTCAGTGTCAGAGGGATAGAACACAGACTTCAGGCATTCCTTTCTACCTGCTGAAATCATGTTTCTTAC